GTGTCGGCGCGGGTCCACGCACCCGAGTTCTGCTCAGAACCTCCCGCGAGCTGCTTTCTCTGGGCGAGCCCCCACATCTTAGAGGAGACAACCTCCAAAGCCGTAGGCTCGGGAACTTGGGCACAAGCACCTCTTCTGATTCAATGAAGGACCCAGCACGTAAGACTCAGGAGGGGCTGGCGGGCGTGAGCCACGGGGGCACAGGCTGGCAGCGGCCCCAACACAAGGGGCACACCCTGAGGAGGCGCAGGCCTGTGCTCAGCAGACCGGCCGTGGGGTCAGCGAGGGGACAACCTCAAACCACCCAGATTGCCACCGGGGGCGGACAGCGTGCTCCTGCCATGGTCACTGCACAGGCAGCAGCCGGAGGTCACGACGGGTCACCACGCGGGCCCTGGGGGCGCAGCTGAGTGCAAGCACAGGCTCCGGGTGTTTACGTAAACGCCGAGAGCACACACGGGGAATCCTCCACGTCAGTGGTGGTCGCTGACATCCGTGTAAATCAACCAAAAGGGTCTGGAAGGACCGACATCCCGAGCAGGAGGGACACAGGCTCACCTTCACCTGCAATGCTCACTGCTTGTAACAAAAAGAGTTCAGCCCGGCCGGGCGGCTCAGCCGCTGAGCGTCGACCTAGGAACCAGGAGGTCACGGTCCGATTCCCGGTCAGGGCACAGGCCCGGGTTGCAGGCTCGATCCCCAGTGTAGAGCAAGCAGGAGGCAGCCGACTCATGATTCTCTCATCATAGATGTTTCTCTCTCTCCCTCTCCCTTCCTCTCTGAAATCAATCAAAATATTTTTTTTAGAGTACTTAAAGCCAAAATGATAAAAGAGTAAGTTTCCAATTCTGGTCGAAGAAATCCGTGTGCTTATTTATTGCTCCTGGAAGTTCTCTCCTCTGACCTGTGCTGGCCCAGCCCTCACCGCTGGCTCCCTGCCCGGCACGGGACCCCCGCTCGAGGTGGCTTTTAACCCGGGACCTGGGCCAAGTCAGGCTGCCTGAGAGAGGGCAGAGCCCAGAAAACAGCTCCTTTTGGCCCTCAGACCCCACTGCCCAGGCCCCCGGGGACAATGCCAGCAGAGGCAGCAGTTGGGGGGACAGGCAGAGAAGGAGAGGGGGCAGGAGGGGAGAAGCTGGGGCCACATCAGGGGGCAGCTGTGGGCCAGGGGCCTGGCCCTTCCTGGGCACTCAGCAGACCGGACTGGTGCCAGGGGCTGCAGCTTTAAATAAACTTGGACACGTCCACCTGGGCCAGGAAGCAACACCAACTGTGCCTCCAGCAGGCCCGGCGCTGACAACAGCCGGCCAACATGGCCACTGTGGACCCCGCCCGGGGCTCCCTGCACTGGCCTGGCCTCCTCCCTGCCCAGGACGCCCAGCAGAGCTGCGACAGGCCCCTCGGCAGCCCTCACTGGACCTAGCGCCTAGGGAGCTCCAGCAGAGGGTGCTGGGCAGAGCCAAAGCCCTCCTGGCTCCTGGCCCCTCCATGGCGAGGATTCCCACCCACTCAGGCCTGTTCCTGGGCTCAGCTGCCTGGCCGCTATCAGCTGCTCTTGTCCCTGCGGGCAGGGTGGGCACCCAGCATGCACTGCAGGGCCTGCCACCCCCTCTCATTCCCAAGGGAGCCCCAAGGGCCTCCTCCACTCCCCAGGGTGGGTAGGTGGCAGACAGCTCCGTAAGCAGCCATGGCTGGAGTCAGAGCCAGGGGCGGGGGCCTGCACAGCCGTGGACCCAGAGAGCTCAGAGAAGAGTGAGGAGCTCTGAACTCCAGGGGTGCACTGCAAGGGCAAAGATGGGGTGCCCCCGGTGCAAGCAGAGAAACAACACGATGAGCTCCGAATGGGCGACCTTCCTCCCACAGCCAACTTCTGCCCCCATCTGAGGATCCCCAGCCCATGCCTTCCTTTAGGGCCGGGGACTCGGGGGCACAGGGGGGCTGACCTCTGCTCTGCTCTGCTCTCCAGAGGCCGGGCTTCCCAATAGCCCCCACCTGAGGGAAGGGAGTCTGTGGGTCCCCAGGGCCTGGCCTTGCACCAACCAGGGGCTCCCTCAGCCACCCTCTCATCTCCAGGCCGGGTACACCCCCAGCACCTGCAGGGTGAGCTGGAGAATTCGCACACCCCACACTCTTCTAGCTGGGCACCAGTCACCAATGATCACCATCCTGGGCACCACAGTCATCAATGATCACCATCTAGGCACCAGTCACCAATGATAACCATCCTGGGCCCCAGTCCCCAATGATCACCATCTGGGCCCCAGTCCCCAGTGATCACCATCCTGGGCACCAGTCACCAATAATCACCATCTGGGCACCAGTCACCAATGATCACGAGCTGGGCACCAGTCACCAATGATCACCATCCTGGGCACCAGTCACCAATAATCACCATCTGGGCACCAGTCACCAATGATTACCAGCTGGGCACCAGTCACCAATGATCACCATCTGGGCACCAGTCACCAATGATCACCATCCTGGGCACCAGTCACCAATGATTACCAGCTGGGCACCAGTCACCAATGATCACCATCTGGGCACCAGTCACCAATGATCACCATCTGGGCAGCAGTCACCAATGATCACCATCCTGGGCACCAGTCACCAATGATCACCATCTGGGCACCAGTCACCAATGATCACCATCCTGGGCACCAGTCACCAATGATCAGCATCCTGGGCACCAGTCACCAATGATCACCATCTGGGCAGCAGTCACCAATGATCACCATCTGGGCACCAGTCACCAATGATCACCATCTGGGCACCAGTCACCAATGATCATCATCTGGGCACCAGTCAACAATGATCACCATCTGGGCACAAGTCCCCAATGATCACCATCCTGGGCACCAGTCACCAATGATCATCATCTGGGCACCAGTCACCAATGATCACCATCTGGGCACCAGTCACCAATGATCACCACCTGGGCACCAGTCACCAATGATCACCATCTGGGCCCCAGTCACCAATGATCACCATCTGGGCACCAGTCACCAATGATCACCATCTGGGCACCAGTCACCAATGATCACCATTCTGGGCACCAGTCACCAATGATCACCATTCTGGGCACCAGTCACCAATGATTACCATCTGGGCACCAGTCACCAATGATCACCATTCTGGGCACCAGTCACCAATGATCATCATCTGGGCACCAGTCACCAATGATCACCATCCTGGGCACCAGTCACCAATGATCACCATCCTGGGCACCAGTCATCAATGATCACCATCTGGGCACCAGTCACCAATGATCACCATCTGGGCACCAGTCACCAATGATCACCATCTGGGCCCCAGTCACCAATGATCACCATCTGGGCACCAGTCACCAATGATCATCATCTGGGCACCAGTCACCAATGGTCACCATCTGGGCACCAGTCACCAATGATCACCATCCTGGGCACCAGTCACCAATGATCATCATCTGGGCACCAGTCACCAATGGTCACCATCTGGGCACAAGTCCCCAATGATCACCATCCTGGGCACCAGTCACCAATGATCATCATCTGGGCACCAGTCACCAATGATCACCATCTGGGCACCAGTCACCAATGATCACCACCTGGGCACCAGTCACCAATGATCACCATCTGGGCCCCAGTCACCAATGATCACCATCTGGGCACCAGTCACCAATGATCACCATCCTGGGCACCAGTCACCAATGATCATCATCTGGGCACCAGTCACCAATGGTCACCATCTGGGCACCAGTCACCAATGATCACCATTCTGGGCACCAGTCACCAATGATCATCATCTGGGCACCAGTCACCAATGATCACCATCCTGGACACCACAGTCACCAAGACCAGCACCGCTCACCATTGCATGGATCACTACAGAGGTGTCCTCAGAAAGAAAATAAGGCCCGGCCGGTGTGGCTCAGTGGTTGAGCGTCTACCTATGAACCAGGAGGTAACGTTGGATTCCCGGTCAGGGCACATGCCCAGGTTGTGGGCTCCTAGCGCTGCAGGAGGTAAGCCGATCCATGATTCTCTCTCATCATTGATCTCTCTCTCTCCTCTCCCTTCCTCTCTGAAATCAATGAAAGTATTATTTTTTTAAAGAAATAAAGAAAATAAGGATCCAACCCTGGGTGTGTAAGAGGAATCCTCCAGCAGCTGCGAGGGGTGGAGGAGGAAGGGGCTCGGCCTGAGCAACCTCCCTGGCTCACTGAGCGGGAGGCCCAGGCCTCAGGACCCTCCGGGGCTCCAGGTCAGCGACCCCCCCACACACACAGGGCAGGCCCAGGAGCCCGCTGTCCGCTGAGTCCCACCAGCACCGCGAATCCCTCCCAACTCCGGCCCCATCTACCTGTGACCCTGAAGGACCTGCCAGGCTCCCCGCGGGCTCAGCCCAGGGGCTGACCGACCGCCCTGACCCCGCCCCCGCTCCCCCGCTGCCCCGCTCCCCTTTCCAGAAAAGTCCGGGGGAAACCCTGGGACCCAGGTCGCCGGCGGACACCGCGGCCAGGCTGTTCCCACGCTGCCCGCTGCCCGACACGCAAGGAGCCCCTCCCGCTCGGAGGGAGCCACGCGGAGGAGCGGGCGCCGCACAGGTCCTGCCGCCCCCGCACCCGCTGCCGGCGCGGTGGGGGCGGGGACCGCGAGACCCACACGGGATGGGACGCCCCTCGCCGGGGACGCCCCTGCCCCGCTCCCAGCCCCGCGGCCACGCCACCAGCCCCTTCCCTCCGACCTCCCGCCACCAAATGCGTCACGTCTGCCTGCGCTCCGAGGACACCTGCTGCCACCCCCGCTGTGCCCGGAGCCGGGCTCCCAGCCGGGCGGTTGCGCGGGGCAGGGCCACGCAGGGCCGCGCGCTGAGGTCCGGCCGGGCCGGGGGCCGGGGGGCCGGCCGCGCGCTTGGCCCGGGAGGGGGAGCCGGCGGGTCGGGGGCGCGCGGGGCTGCAGGCGCCCGGGCCGGCGGGGGTCGGGTCTCCCGCCTGAGCCCGCCCGCCCGCGCGCGGCTCTTACTTGCCAATGTCCTCGTAGAGCTGGTACTCGTCGGTGAAGCGGGTGCAGGGCACCGTGGTGGCCATGGCGGCGGCGGCGGCCTCCGTGCGCTCCGCTGCTCTCGGGCGACGGCGACTCCGGCTCCCGCTCGCGGGCACGGCGGCGACAGGGCGCGGGCGCGGCGACACCTCGGCTCGGCGCCGGGCGGGGGCCGAGCTGGGCTGCGAGAGCTGCGCGCTCCGAGCTCCCAGGAACGCGCCGCACACCTACGCGCAGCCGGGAAGCGGGAGCCGCCGCTCCGCCCCGCCCGCCGCCCCCCGCGCGAGGCTCGCACCCGAGCCCCGCACCCGAGCCCGCGCCCTGCACACGCGCCCGCGCCCTCACCTGCACCCGCTCCCTACTCATGGCCCTGCACTCGGCCCGCGCCCCGCACACGCGCGCACGTGCCTCACTCCTCACACGCCTGGGGCTCAAGGCCTCGCACATGGGCTCCGGGCTGGTGACCCCCCTGCGCGCGCGCGCGCGCTCACACTCACACGCGCGCGCACACACACTCACTGGGACTGTACACGAACCAGCCCCCCTTTCCCCTGAAGGCCCACTTGCCCTGGGAGCACGTGGGCGGCCAGGGCGCCTGCATCAGCCGCCCCAGGAGAATGCCATCCAACCCCCGACACTGCACACCAGCCCCTCGGTCCAGAGCTGCTCTGAGGCCTCCCAGACCAGGTCCCACTGGGGACACGGGGTGGGGGTGGGAGAGATGAAAGGGCGGAGGCTGCCCTCCTCTAGGCTCCCCGCCCCTCCTCCCAGCACTGGTGTCTGCACTGGGGGTCCCAGAAAGGGATGCTGGGGGCGGAGGCTGCAGTGAGACGGAGAGTCAGGGGAACAGGGGATGCTCCCTGCAGCTCACAGCCCCCTGCCTGGGGACACACTCCCCTCTCCCAGGCCTAGTCCACCTGCCTGGCCCCTGCTCTAGCCTCATCCAACAGGGTCCATCTTGAAAATAGCCCTGGAGGGGGGGTGGGGGGCAGGAAAAGGCAAGGCAGAGAGGCTGGCTGACCCCGTTTTTCCACGGAAGAGCCTCCCCAGGGCCCGCCCAGGCTGCCATCTGGAACAGGGACTTCGGATCCAGCGAGAGGCCCACTGGGCTCTGGCGCCCCCACACGCAAGGGGCTGGGGCCAGGGCAGGCTCAGTCCTGGGCAGGCCCCAAGGAAGGACGTTTCCAGCAGAAGGCTCCCGATTTGGGTCGCCCAGCGGCCCCCGATGTGAGCCCTGGCGGCACCACAGGCTTCCAGCTGTGGGTTCCAGGCCTGTGCGCTCAGCACTCACCTTGGCAGCCAGTGCAAGGCCGGCCCTTGGCCACAATAAATGCTTCCTGGGTTAAAGTTCACATGGAAGGGGCTCTGGGGTGGGGGCAGCCAGGGCTCCCCACAAGATGCCTTTGGCACATGGCTGTCCCACAGATTAGCAGACCAGGGGGGCCAGTCTGGGTCCTGGGTGGTTCTGCAGAACCGACTTAGACCCAGGAGACAGCTAGGAGCAGAGGACACTGGGTAACGGTAAGTCCTGGGGAGGGGGGGAGACATGGAGGGCCTGTGGGGGCCTGGCCTTGCTCTCAGCAGCAAGGTGGGAGGGGAGACCACCTCCACACCTGGCAGAGCCGCTGGCCTGTCCTGGCAGGCGACACCCACCTCTCCCGTGAGACCCACACAAGCCGGCCAGGCTGGCTCTGGGGATGTGCTCAGACCCCCAGGAACCTTCCCCCACACGCAGGCCCCGCAGAGGCGGCGGCAATCCCACACGTAGAGCACAATTAGCAAACAAACAAAACAACACCGCACCCCTGGACTCACCAAGCTCTTAGGCCACAAGCCGTCAGGCACTGCCAAGGCCACACATACTCCGACCGGCACCAGCCATGCCAGGCCTACATGTATTCTACACGTCTTACCTCATTTCCCCTTCTGACAGCCCGAGGCAGGTACTCCGTTACCCCCACCTTACCAGGTGGGCAGCAGAAACAGAAAGGTGAGGCCACTGCACAGTGTCACACAGCCCAGCACGGCCTGGGCCTGACACTCCGCTGCTCCAGAGACCCGCTCGTCTTTTACTTTCACACACACACACACACACACACACTTGCACACTCAGTCACACACACATTCACACTCACATGTGCATGGCTTCCATGGCCCCAGGTGAGGACGCAGCAGCATTCTGGGGGTTTGCTTTGAGGTTCCTCCCCTGGGTGGGGAGGCTACCCAGGACTAAGGTCACACAAGAAGTCAGGGTCACTAAGGAGCTTGAGGCCTTCTATTGTTAGTACCTGGGGTTCCCCAGGCAGCCCCTCCCCAGGCTGAAACATTAAAGGTGTGTTGCAGGCAGGAAGGTGGGGTGATCAGGGCACCCCCAGGGGGAATGGTGGTTACCAAGACCCTGCCTCCACAGCCCCTCCCCTCACCCCAATCACAGAACAGCCCACTTTCTCCCCCAGGCAGTGGGGTGGAAAAGCTGGGAGGGCTGTCAGCCATGACTCTTCCTGGGCCCCAGGGGCCTCTCACCTGGCTTTGGCCTCCCACCTCTCCTTCGGGAAGGGCCCTCTTCCACCCGCACCCCTGTGTCATCTCCGCCTCCCCCTTTATCCTTCCTCGCTGGCTTTCATCCCAAAGGAGGGCTCCCTCCCCCCCCCAAATAGCAGCTGGGGTAGGTGTGGGAATATCAGTTCTGGGAGGTTATTGTTAGGACAGTCCCCATGGCAACCAGCATCACATCTGCAGAGCCCAAAGTGCTGCACACGGGCTCCTTCTCCCAAAGAAAGCCATGGCCTCCTCTTCCCCCTCGCCTCCAGGTCACCTCTCCCAGGCGCAACCATCTGCCTGGAGGGGCAGGCTGGTCCCCAGAGCAGGAAGACTCCAATCCATCCCTCTCCAACCACCTGCCCCTTGAGGTGGCAGCCTGTGCTGGGCGCTGTGGCAGGCATGGGGAATGGTGGTGATGATGGTGGTGATGGTGATGATGGTGGTAATGATGGTGATGTTGATGATGAAAACTGTGATGATGATGGTGATGAAGATGGAGGTGATGAAGATGATAGTGATAATGCTGATGATGAAGGTGATGGTAAAAACTGATGCTGATGGTGATGATGATGGTGATAATGCTGCTGCTGATGGTGATGATAACAACTGTGATGATGGTGGTGATGGTGATGGTGATGACGGTGTTGATGACAACTGTAGTGATGGTGATGAAGGTGATAATGCTGCAGCTGCTGCTGCTGATGGTGGTGGTGACGGTGATGATGGTGGTGACGGTGATGATGATGGTGGTGATGGTGATGATGGTGGTGGTGATGGTGATGACAGTGATGGTGATGATAATGATGGTGATTATGAAAATTGTGATGATGATAGTGGTGATGATGGTGGTGATGGTGATGATGATGGTGATAATGCTGATAATGATGGTGATGATGAAAACTGTGATGATGATGGTGGTGGTGATGGTGATGAAGACTAAGCTACGATTTACAATGTACTCGCGACATACTGGAAACTTCTGAAGGTCTGCCCACCACCTTATTAAACTTCATAGCAACCTTGCAAGGTGGCAGCTATTGTTAGCCTCCTTGCACAAATGAGGAAACAGAGGCACAGAAGGTGCTGGCACTGGGCTCAGTCCTGGCCCGATTCACATGACTTTGCAGCTGGTGCCTTTACCCACTGCACTGTGCCCCAGGGACTGCGCGCCTGTTCATGTGGCGATGTCACTAGGAAGGAGGAGGGCTCTACTGAAGACCAAGCAGAAGCAAACAAGAAAACACTGAGCAGTGATATCCTCTACATCAATTTAAAACAGTGACCGCTGGAGGTGAGCAAGGGGTTGGGGCCACATGAACTCAGGAGAGCAGGGACGTGAACAAGGGGGGGAGGGGCACGTGAACACCCAGAAGTGGTCATGTGAATAAGGGTGAGGGGCCACTTGATCACATGAGAATAGGCATGTGAATAAGGGGTTGGGGCCACGTGAACACCAGGAAGTGGTCATGAGAACAAGGGGGGCACGTGATCACGTGAGAATAGGCACATGAACAAGGGGAAAAAATAAAATATAAAATGAAACAAAATAAAACAGAATAAAATCCTATACCCTATATAATAAAACCCTAATATGCTAAGTGTCTGGTCATCCGTTCAACCAATCAAAGCACAGTATGCTAATGATATGCTAAGGCCGCTCAACAGCTCACTATAATGTGCACTGACCACCAGGGAGTAGACAGTCTACCGGTTGACCAGTTGCTATGTCATGCACTGACCACCAGGGGGCAGTCGACCAGTCGCTATGATGTGCACTGACCACCAGGGCGCAGGTGCTCGAACCAGTAGGTTAGCTTGCTGCTGGGGTCCGGCTGATCAGGACTGAGCGAGACAGGCCGGACACACCCTGGAGCCTCCTGCGGTCCTTCCCTGGCTGGCCAACTTCCTGCGTCTGGCCCCAATCGTGTACCGGTGGGGTCCCTCAGCCTGGCCTGTGCCCTCTCACAATCCAGGACCCCTTGGGGGATGTCAGAGAGCCGGTTTTGGCCTGGTCCTGCAGGCCAGGCTGAGGGACCCCACTGGTGCACGAATTCGTGCACCAGGCCTCTAGAAATAAAATTTAAATAAAATCTATAATAATAAAAGTGTAATGTGCTAATTGCCAAACAATCTTCTGGACAACCTTACGGATGAAGCCAGGGCTGCGAGGACCAAGCCCCTTGCATGAATTTCGTGCATCAGGCTTCTAGTAATAAAATAAAATAATAAAATAAACGCAAGAAGTTGGCACTGGTCAGTCAGGAGACCCTGCTCTCAGGCCTCTCTTGTGCTCACCTGCAAGCTGGCAGGGCATGCTGACGTGGCCACCGGCCCAGGGCTCCCAGTACGACCACAAAAGACCTGTGTGCATCAGCCCCGACTTCCCTGCACCCCAGCACTTGGAGGTGGCACCCCAGCACCCAGAGGTAGCACCCCAGTAGCACCCCTATTGGTCACAGCACTGGACTCCACAGAGTGCCTGGCCCTCTGCTCAGCCATCAGGGTTTGCCAACCTGGCGCTCCCACCTGGAGGCCCAGCCACCATGCCCAGGTTCCTGTGCCAGGCTGCAAGGTCAGGCTGCACCGTGGGCCCTCACTGCTTTGGCCACGCGAGGAAACAGCAAGACTGACATGAACCACAGTTCCCAGCTGACGAAGCTGGAAAGAAGAAATTAACCTGAGAAGGGCGAGGGGGTGAGTCTGAGACGGCCCGA